TAGTTAAACTGAGGCTGTGGTTATATTCACAATTCCAACTTATTGTTTACTGCAAACTCTTCTTTAATAGCAGAGTATATTACGAAAAGGGACAAACCGGAAAGGACAATAGCGCGTTCGTTCCTCACCGCATACATCTGCGGTTCGGAGTTTTGTAAATATCTCAGCATCATTGAAGTTATATTTGGCAATACACCCTGCTATTAAAAAAGAGTAGGCAGTAAATAATAGGTTGAAATTGTAATACTAACATTGACATCAAAAGAGGAGTTAGGCAAAGTGATACTATCTCGCCAAAATTATTTACCGCCACCCTCCAGAACGTCATGCGAACATTGAAATGGGATAATGTGGGAGTGAAAATCGATGGTCGGCAGTTATACCATCTTCGCTTTGATGACATCGTCCTTATAACACCAGACATTAGCCAAGCGGAGCGTATGCTTGACGACTTTGATAAAGCCTGTGGAAAGATCGGTCTTCGACTAAATCTCACAAAACGATGTTTATGAGGAACGGATTGGATACGTATGACCCGTTTACACTCCGGAACGAGTACTTCTCAGTGCCCCAGTCATGTCTATCTAGGTCGGGAAATCAATATGATAAACGACCTAGCTCCGGAGCTGAGCAGAAGGAAACGGGAAGCTTGGGGAACTTTCAAGGACACCGATAATGTAGTGAAGGAAACAAAGAACACCCGACTCCATGCCAACCTTTTCGACTCAACGGTACTTCCTGTCCTAATGTATGTTTCAAAAACCTGGTCGCTGCGTAGGCAGGGTGAAAGATCACTCAGTGTTATCGAGAGCGGAGTCGAAAGGACGATGCTACGAGTATCCTTTTCCACACAAAGGATGGGATCCGAAGCTGCGACCTGCTTCAACGATCAAAAATCAAAGGAGTCGTTCTGTACGCCAAATAGTTGAAGATAAGGTAGGCTGCACTCGTAATGCACATGAATGACAAATGATGGACAAGAGCCGTTAGTGAGTGAGTTCCTCGGGATGTCAGACGTGCTCTGGGAAGACCACCGACCCGATAGTCAGAGTTCTTCAGGAGAAGCCTAGAAAAAAGATATGATGCTCGGTGAGTTCCTAGAGCGAGCAGAACCCGCTGGGGTACTCTTGTACGCGACAGAGAAAAATGGAAGATTTACTGGCGCCCGCTCGTGTCACTCGACGATCAACGGGACTACAGGTGATACAGGTGATGTATATATATATATATATATATATATATATATATACATCACCTGTATCACCTGTAGTCCCGTTGATCGTCGAGTGACACGAGCGGGCGCCAGTAAATCTTCCATTTTTCTCTGTCGCGTACAANATATATATATATATATATATATATATATATATATATATATATATATACATATATATATTTATATATATATAAACGGCAGATAACGCAATAGTATTGATGTCGGCTATCATGAACGCGGAGGTAGTTCGATCCCGTTCCAGGCCAACCAAGCTTCTAATTTCTCCGGGGTCGGGAAATTGATACCGGACTGCTCCGTGAGAACTCGGCCATCTCAGGAGTCCAGGGAAAATTGGTCGACCAGCATTCTACGGCATCGAAGATGAAATGAAAATCCTCAAGCAGTAACCGAGGCCACACGTAAAAGTTGGATGATCTTCGTGTATGATGGATGGATATTTGGAAAGGAATCGAATGTGAGAAGTGCTGGGATGCGCACAGTAGACGTAAAGGCGGGTCATATAAAAATATGAAAAAACACATTGATTCATATATACATATAAATATATATATACGTATATATATATATATATGTATGATACATATGGATATAATATATATACCACGGCACAGTGATACACACGCACCGACGCGCACGCACACGCGCACAGAGGTTAAGACCAACGAATAGACACACACTCACAGACACCTACACACAAGTGCATCATAAATTCACGTAAACACATACGCACGCATGCACGCACGCATGCACGCACGCACGCACGCATACATACATACATACATACATGTGTACATACATACATACATACATGCGCGCGATAAATTTTTCGATGATTAGAAGGAAACGACACATTTTCTGTGCGCCTCGAATACTTGAATTTGGACGGCGAGCATCATTCAAAACCACATCGAGAAACTCGGAATTAGAAGTCGTTAAATGTATTTAGAATTGAATTGTCTTTAAAAGGGAAAAGTAGAGAAAGCACGGAAACTCATTTCCACTATTTAAATAGAAATAACAATATTACCAAGGCGAAAAGACGGATACACCTCCATTACTTTTATAACAGCTGTTAGAAGCAATCAAAGTCATCATGATGACCTTTCGGATGTTGTCCCTCCCCAACTTTTTCGCTGTAGCTGAGCAATTTTCACTGTGGCCGCAACCTGTAACGCGTTATAGAACGCGAAGCCGAAGGACGGTACTAAGAGTAGCCCGCATTACACAAGCCAGAAAGAGGATTCGAAGCTTCGATCTACATAAGCGATCAAAAATCAATGACGCCGTACTATATCTCAAACTGCCGAGGATAAGGTGCTCCGCACGTGCAATGGGACAACAGCCGAAGGACAACAGCCGTTAATGGATGGACTCTCCGGGATATCAGACGTACTGCAGGAACACCACCTATCCGATAGTCAAAGTTTTTCACGAAAACTCTAGCAGAAATAAATGATCCTCAACGAGTCCCTAGAGTGAGCTGAACCCACTGGGATGCCCATGCGCGCGACGGGATTAAATTAAAGATTCACTAGCGCTCGTCCAGTTAACACGCCGATCAACGTGATGACAGGCCATACAATTGACAACGGCAACTATATTGGTACCATAATATACCAATTTTTATCCACTTTTCCTTCTTTTGTTTCCTTATTCGCTTTCATGGAGAGAGGGTCGCGCAGTGTCTACTGATGCCGTCCATCAGGAACGAAGACAATGGTTCGACACCCTGCCTAAAACTCTCCTCCAATCCACATGGGAACGCTTTAGCTTGGCTGTTTCCAAAACTGCAAGAAAAATCTACTCAATGAGCATTGGACGACGTTTAAAAAAAAAAGTAGGGACCCTCAAGCAAAAGCAGAAGCAACGCTTAAAATGTTTGAAGACCTTTGTGGACGATGAATGTGATTAAAACGAATCGACTGCGCGAAGTGTCGTGATACGCACAGTAGACGTCGTGACGGGTCTTGTAAAATAAGAAAAATAATTTTTTTATTGTAGGATATTATGTGAAGCACAACCACAAAGATGCTGCGATAGGAGTAAAATTCGGGACACAACTTGAGCTTTGAACCCGCGATCACTTTTGTCGGGGTTCACGTGCTATCCAGCACGCCAACCATGGCTCTTACTTTGTCTTTCTCTAAGCTAGTTATTTTTTTGCTTCACGCTAATAGTACAATCAGCAATCGCCCGTTAACGTAAACAATCTAGGAAGTACAAATCGTCATTGAACCCAGTTAAGCTGATGTTTCAGTCAAAAGCACAATTTCTTACTCCTTACTTCCTACCCTTTTTCCTGCCTTACTGTATGCGTTACAAACCTGGCCGCTGGGTAAGCAGATTGAGAGTTCACCTAGCGTTATTGAATGCGCAGTAGAAAGGATGACGCTAGAAGTACCCTGTGTCATACAAGTGAGGGAAAGAATCCGAAGCTCCGACCTACGGCAACGATCGGAGATCAAACACGCCGCTCGGTACAACAAACGGTTTAAGATAGGGCGGGTCGGACTCGTAATGCGCATGAACGACAACTAATAGACAAGAACCGCTAGTCGATGGATTTTTCGAGATGTCAAACATACTGCAGGAAAACCACCGACCCAATGTTCCGAGTTCTCTACGAAAATGCTTGAGGAAAGGTATGATGCTTCACGAATCCTAGAGCGAGCAAAACCAACTTGGTTGCTCTTGAACGCGACAGGGAAAAATGGAAGATTTACTGGTGTCCACTCGAGGCACTCGATGATCAGCGGAGAGACAGGTGACAGGTGAAAAGTGATCCTTCCTCTAGTTGATAAAGTAAGAAACTGGCTACGAGAAAGGGAAAGCAAAGACCTCGGTTGGTATGGTAGATAGCTCGTGAGCCCTCACAAAGGGTAATCATGGCTTCTAAGCACGTCTGAGGTTCCGAGTTTTGCTGATGTCCCACCAGCATCGTTGTCGTTATAATTTAGATGCGTCGATCGCTGACCCATAGCAAAGTATTTAAGCTTTTTGAAATCTGACGAGATATTTATGGCGCATCATTCCACGAAAGTGGAACCTGATTGTTTTAAGCATTATACTTGACTTAATTCGTAACCCCGTTAGCGAAACTGATAAAAACTTTTTCAAAAGCGGTTATACATATCCAGTGAAGTGTTATGACTTTTTTAAGAATAGTGATGCCTTTCACATAAGGTTTTCCCACTTTTTTAAAAATAATATTGTCCTCATCCGAAGTTTTATAGGTTTTTCAAACTTGCATCCCAACCCATGTAATATTCGCTTCATTTCACAAGGAACCTGCGTTTCTGAGAAAGTTAAGTATTTGCTTGTTATGGTTGAATTTCGACTGGATCTATGAATAAAATCCCAGCAAGTACAAACATTAATGTGCAACTATTTTTTTCAGACCTTTCATTTGCGTCCTGAAAAGACAAAATCTATCCCATACGCTTGGGTCATGGCAGACCAGACTACAGTCTATCGCTTCTGGCCAGTCATTATATTCGGCAATGCGTTGGCATTCATCACTATGGAGTAATCAACTATGCTTTTTTCTGTCTGGCCGCCTCTTTTTTTTCTTAGTTTTCGTTTCTTCACCTTTTCGAAAACCATCCTATGTTATATTAAGGGAGAGTAAGGTACTCATTAAAAATCAATAGAAATTCTAAACGGTTCAAATCCTCTACCAACACCACCACTTCGAAATCTTTTACAAAGAAGAAAAAAAGTTAATTGTCGACTGGGTAAAAAACCTAGCCTTTTTTTCGGAATTCTAAACCAGAGATTTCTCGAAAAAAAGAGACCCCACTTTATTATCGACGACGTGAGCGTAGCGTCGAAGTTTTTTCGTGGAGTCGGCCTTCAGTAATGTGTTCGTTCTTCCAACGTTGACGGTGTTGAACAGCTTCTTTGACGTCATCTGGTTGTCGGACGTCATGCCGGCATTCACCTTGAAAGAAAACGAAAAAATAGGCTATTCAATTTTTGTATTGATGTGATATGATAAATTTCAAATGGTAATTTGTCGAATAACATCGGCAATGTTTTAAACTTGGGGTTGTTCTTGATCTGGATATGAATCTGAAGGGGAAGAACTCTGAAAACTGAATATGAACCTGAAGAATTCCCCTTGATATAAGTTCAAGTGTATTTTTATTTGAGTGCCTTTTCAAAATTATTTTCGCAAAATCAGATGCACTTCTTCTGACAAGTGAGATAAAAGGCGACATATATGGCAATATGGTTAGTCAATAAAGGAAGCTAATGGGCAGAATCACAGTGTCGTTCCCAAGGCTACTCGCATGTTTTCAACGTAGGGAAGCAAACAACAAAGAGTAAAAAAGCAATTGTAACACTTAGCTGAAGAAGTTTTCCGCAATAAAATTTTAATAAAAACGATAAAAAGAGCTTAGAGTAAATGGATATTACCTCAGGTCGGTAGAAGAATACTTTTCATAATTGTGAGTTTGAACGACGAATGAAAGTATGATCCTACCTCTCCTCCGATTGCTTTATTAGCGACGTATGAATTGTTGTGGAAAAACCCGGACGAGTAATCCTTAGCCCTGATTCCATCTGTTGGTGAGGCGTCAGACACTGGGAACGTTGACGACGATGATGACGCGATATTTTCTTCACATCTGCACACAGCAGCGTTGTTGAGTGTACGAGCAAACTCGTTCATATAGTATGATTTGCAGACTTGTCGCACTTCTGACAGGACAAATTCGCCCAGATGACGATTTTCTGGCAGGCGCATATCACGGCATATGTAGCCGCTGTTATAACGAGGGCATTCAGCTTTATGAGTGAACTGCGATGAGGGTTCCATGTGCATCCTTTGAAAGTATTGTTTTTAACACTATAATGAAGCACTATTTTCAGTAAAACACACTACGGTACCACCTGGAAAGAAGACCCACAACAATCTTCTGACAAGTGAGATAAAGGACGACATATATGGCAAATGAAATCAACAGCATTAACAGCAAGGTGTACACGAAATTCCATTGCTTAGTTACAAGGAATTAGGTGGCCTTCCAGAGATCAATGAAAAGCACGGAGGGCAGGCTGTGAAGAAGGCAAAGATGTTGGAAGGTTAGCTGAATAAATGTTTGATAACACATCCCCGTGTTAGCTTTTCAGTAGAATAAGGTGCGAAGAACAAACATTAGAAAAATGTGTAATGTTTTGAATGTTGAAAAAAGGCAGTTGCCAGAGAACACTTAAGGCGCTTTTCCAGTTCCCTGTATGGTTTTAGTGAAAGGATTTGCACATCATCTGCACCACCTATTGTCTTCGAATGAATCCAATTGGCACCATGAAAGTATTCATTTGTCCCGTTTGTCTTAGAGCTGCTAAGTAGTTCTACCTGTCCGATAAACACAAAGTGAGTTATTCCTTTGTTATCAAGTTCATATATGAGTCAGAATTTTGCGCACTGGAGACAGTGCTTACACGGTCAGCCGGTTGGAGGCATGGCTTTACATAGGCTTTATTTATAGGAAGCTTAATCCCTGAGCCGCCAGTCATTTTTCTCATAGTGGACGTTCACTGGATTCATGTATGTTGGAAAAATATACTTGCAAAATATACCTCGCACAAGTAAATCCAATGGAGCGGATGCCGAAACTGGATGAGCGGAAATCACTTTCACTCGAAAGCAAATAAAAGGTCGCATGGAATCACGTTCTATCCCTAAGCATAAGGAAGGCCACTTAGCTTGAAACTAATCAACTTGTGGTATCTTAAGTAGGAAGCAACCATAGAAGAAATCTATGACAATTGAAATTTTCTCTTAAGGTTCGTTTCCTAATGACTTTTGTTAGTAAATTGAGGATAAAGTTTCCATTGACCTAATTAGTAGAATACTGGATTCTCATTTTGCAAAAAATGCTTGGACAATCGTAGATCTAGGTGCTCGCCGAGCACGACTACAGTTTTGTAACGTATTTAGTAAGTATTATTGGATCAAAGAGTGTATTCGGCATATTACTGATGCGTGATCATGTAATCAGCTATTGATCGTTATTGAAGAACGGCACTCAATTATGTAACCAATTAATAACTAATGACTAATGACACCACCTAAAAATGTCCTTGAAATGCCTTCACTCATCTAGTATTTGAGAAGTGTTATGCTTCGAATTGTGCGTAATTATTGGACTACTAAACGAGTAATGTAGATTGAGGCGGATGGAAGAAGTCCGAGGAAGCGACCAAAGACCTAAGGCTTCGATCTGTTTGTAGAGATGGATGTGACTGAATTGAATCCCAAACGCTGTAGATGCCATGGAGGCTTCCCTATACTATTATCTACGCGACTAGAACGAAAATAAATCCGTTTAGACGGCTAGAAAAAAATGCTCTAAATTTAAAAAAATTCTACATCGATAGGGTAGGAAAAACATTAGAAGAGCGGAAATTTGGCAGTACAATAGTAAAAGGAAAAAAGAATAAAGAAAGTCCGTTTGAAGCAAGAGAAAGTGAAATATTCAAGAAACATGGAATGAATACTACCACTATGTAGAACGCTTTGGATTTGTGAAGAATTCTCCCAAAATCACTTAAAAAGGAGGTTCTGGAAAACACACGAATTGAAGAAAGTCTGGAGATTAGTAATGAACTACAGAGTAAATGAGTTCGGAAACAGAACAGCCGTCACCAAAAAGAATGAGAATTATTTCGAAATCGACTATGACGTCATCTAAAAAGTTATGTTATGAATGTTGTGAAGATGTTATGTTATGTTATGAAGATGAAGTTAAGGAAAATAAAAACCTATCGAGGTTCTACATTCATTAGAATGTCAACTACTCAGATCACTAGATTACTAGTTAGTGGGCTTGCTAGCTACAGTGTAATGTTAGGATAAAGCTTGGTTTCTATTAGGCGATCATTTGACCAGTTATGACAAGAATTCAATCCTCCTTACCACCTAGAGGGCGTGGCGCTACGAAACTTGATGGCTGTAATCGGCTTAGGATCCCTTATAGATAGGAAATTCGTTGACGACTTAACAATAATAAAAATAACATTAATAATAATAATAATAATACCACGCTTGAAAAATGGAATTTCCCATCAACAAGAATCAAGAAGAATGCAGAGAATGCAGACCCATGGGCCTGCTATTTTACTAATCAAGCAACGTTTTTATTTCTTGGAGTCTCCATGGCCAGCCCAGAGTTTTCCTAGCTCACCAACGCTTATTTAAGGACTACACTCTGGTTAGAATGATAGGGATTAATGGCAGTGGTTTACTTTTAGCCGAACTTCCGAATGATAATGTCGAACTAGTTCTCAACCTGGATGAATCTATTAGAGCGACGAACTCCCACTGTACATCGTAGTTCAATAACTAGTCATGAAAAGGCGCCGAACTATAGTGGAGTTTTTATATCTAATGGTTCTTAGAGAAAGCACTTCAAGGCATTAGTGAATGTTACAATGAACAGAATAACGAGCACTCAGGGAAATCGTTTTGATTTCATAGGGCAGGTAAATTGCTGAGGAAAGCTAGTAATAGATAGAAGGATTTCAAGAAAGTACCTTATTCTATTAAGAGAAATGTTATCGAAAACCGATTACTGAGTGGTGGCTGGTAAAACATGAAAATCTTCTCCTTTTTTGGTAGTTTAGTTCTTCTTTGCAATAACAAAGTCTCATTAGTCATAAAATATAGTTGAATTAAAAAGAGTTGTAAGTTTCTATTTATCTAAGCCCAAATAATGGTTCTACCTCAAATGCTGCACTATCTTCTTTCGCTCTTATACACTTCAATGCTTCATGACCATCGGGATCGTCAAAATTTTATAAGTGCTAGTCTATTCATAAGCTCCATTCTAGGTTATTAGTAAGCAGATATCTTACGTAGTCATCTTAAGATGAAATAAAACTAGATTCTACAGATGTAACATGAAAGAATAATTGTGATTTCTGTTACACCTGCTAAGAGCATGCAAGTATATCCTAAGTGAGATAATTCACAATAAAGGAAGAAAAACGAAAGAAAAAGAGAAGTTAAGGAGAACCATTGAAGGACAGTTTCACTAGCAATAAAATATGGTTCATGGCAAAATCATTTGAAGCGTTCGAGGTGTGGAAGACGAATTCGGTCGACGTGCGATGCCTTCTTGGATTGTTAAGCTAACACGAGTTTGATGAAAATGCTTATCCGGATAACCTTTCGACGTCACCGTCTTTCTCAGAGCCGATGGCCCGAATCGATCTCCACAATCGTTCGCCTTCTCGATGTTATGCCTTCGTCGTTGTATCGAGTCGAATCTTCTTCAGCGCTCGAAGTGCAATACATTCGTCATTCTTCTGGCTCATTGTGAAAACAGAGCAATTCAAACGGAATTCCATTGAGAGATGCAATTTTTGTGTCAGAGTGCGGACATCTTTCCATTATAACTATAATTTTGCAGAGCTAGGGCAAAGGCACTATGCTTGAAACGATATTCGTGTATCTATCAACAGTTCTATGACATTTGTTTGTACTATCATTGGAAGAATCACTTCTAACGATGGTTTATGAATTCGAATGCATGGCGCATCCCTCAGCGATTGACCATTGCCGAGAGTGCTATACTTTATTATTAGAGCTGAAGGCGAAGATGGTTCCTAGAAAGAGTACTCTACAACAAAATTTCCATTCCACCCAGATTTTACTCACTGAGTAGCCGCTCACTTTTCTCTGGAGTTCGAAGGTAGTCCTACTAAAGTCGCTGGCAGGTTCCCACCACAGTCGAATACCTGTTTTTGTATATCAGGGCGAAGTTAACTACCTTGTTACAAGGATTCTTCCAAGATCACGGCAATTTAACTGTTTTCATTGGCTTTAACTAAAGATTCCGGAATGGAAATTCAAATCCTCTTCTGAGCCTCAGTGACTCTATTCAGAAATGAGACTCTCTATATATATAGTAATTCGACACTCTACTGCCTAATCATTGAGGCAGCACTAATATCACTATCGTCGCTGTAGTGGTATTCATCACCCGATACTCGTTATCGACTAATGATGATATGTAAATAAGATTTCTGAGAAAAGTGAAGTTCTTCCTTTATAAGAAAACGTTTTGCGATTTACCGAAGTTGGAGAGATTCATAGCGGATTTGACGGAGTGCGATAACAACATTTCTAACACATTACACCAACCCGTCCATTAGAAACCCATTAGTTTCAGTCACTCTTCCCAGGATTTCATTAGCCTTCGTGGCTTTATCATCAAAGGACTCCACCTCTCACCCCTCTACACCTATTCCCTATGCCACTACCACTACACCTATTTTTGCACCTTAGAAAATACTTGATACTTGATACTTGAACGGCCCGTCCTCACTAGTTGTGCGGGCCCCATCATAACATCATTTTTCGGAGATTTGCTAGTTAAGTCATTGTGATTTCCTGGAATCCCGAGGGCAGCCTGGCCAAAGTCTACCCCAGTTTGTCACCACCACAGGCCGTCACCGTCCTTGTAGATCAGAGGGAGATTTTCAACCATACGACTGGCTTGGTACCAGAACGGTGGATCCTGGTATTGGTTTGCTCCTAGCTAGGCTTCCTGATGGAAACGCTAGACTCCTCAGCTTTGGAGAACTTCCCGGGGGGACGAATCTCCCCGCTGCACATCGCAGTCCGACACCCAGGAACCCCTCCCAGCCACAACGGGGCGGTAAACAGTTGGGAGGATCTCAGAAAACAGTCAGAAAAAATGGTGATAACGACACGAAGTGGATCGCCACTAACATTACACCAAAATTCCTGATCCGAAGGTGGTTTACAAATTTCTGAGCATCTAATCGACTTTGATGCTACTCCACAAA